CGCGCTGGGCATGGCGCAGCGGGCCGAGGTGGAGGGCATCTTCACGGTCGTCGACTCGCCCGAGCGGCGGCAGTATTTCCACGTCTCGCCGGCGGTCATCGAAGGCCGCTACGTGCTTTTCACCAAGGCCGGCAGCGGCCTCGTCTACACGGGAGACGCGCACGTCCTCTCGGGCCGCACGGTCGGCGCCTACGGGCCGTCGGCCACGGCGCTCACGCTGGAGGCGCTGATCGAGGGCGTGCCGCGCGTGCGCAGCGAGATCGAGCCCGACAACCGCACCGTGCTGCGCAAGCTGGCCGCCGGCCGCTACGGCGAGGACGGCGCCGCGCTCATCAACGAGGCCGTGGCCCAGGGCTTCATCCGTGAGGACAACCTCACCAGCCTGCAGCCGGCCGGCCTCGTGAAGGTGTTCGGCTACTCGTTCGGGCTGAACCGCCAGAACGTCGACCTCGGCGCGGCGCTGGCCTTCGGGCGCACGCTGTACGAGCTGTGCCGCAGCGGCCGCACGACGGAGCTGCTGCGGCCCTACGGCCTGCCGCCGTCGCCCTGCGTCAAGTGACGGCGGGCTGCAGCAGCCGGATCGTGCCGGCGTCGGCGTCCATCTCGGCCGGTGCGCCCACGGGCACGGTCATCTTGCGCTTGATGTGGCCGATGGCCGCGCCGCGGTAGGCCGGCACGTTCAGCGGGCCGAAGTAGTCGTCGAACACCTCGTCCAGCGTCAGGCTGCCGTAGCCGTCGCCCGGCTCGCACTTCGTGAAGCGACCGAGCACGACACCGGCGATCTGGCCGAGTGCGCCGGTCAGGCGCAAGGTGGAGAGGCAGCGGTCGATGCGGTAGATGTACTCGTTGATGTCCTCGAGGAACAGCAGCGCGCCGCGGCAGTCGGGGAAGTACGGCGTGCCGGCCAGCGAGGCCAGCACGGTCAGGTTGCCGCCCACGAGCCGGCCCTGGGCCTTGCCGCTGCGCAGCGTGCTGATGCGCTCGTCGCGCACGATGAGGTCGTCCGCGGGCTTCAAGACCGGGTTGCGCAGCACGGCGGCCTCGGCATTCATGACGAGCGCGCGGAAGCTCTGCACCGAGTAGTCGTTCCACTCCGAGCCGGCCACCGGGCTGTGGAACGTGACCAGGCCCGGTGCTGGCGGTGGATGGCGTTGACGAGGCTGGTCAGGTCGCTGAAGCCGCCGAAGAACTTCGGGCTTGCGGCGGATGAGGTCGTAGTCCAGCCGGTCGACGATGCGGTTGCAGCCCGAGCCACCGGTCATCGCGATGATGCCGGCCACGCGGTCGTCCGCGAACATCGCGTTCACGTCCGGCGGCGCGTTGCGCGTCGGTGCCGGCGAAGGGGCCGCGCCGCGCGGCGACGTTCGGGCCTGGCTTGACCTTGAAGCCCAGCGCCTGCAGCGCCTCGGCGGCCATCTTCAGCGGCTCGCGCTCG